TAGTAGTAGTAGTAGTAGTAGTAGTAGTAGTAGTAGTAGTAGTAGTAGTAGTACGGTAACCAGGTGTGCAAGTTTTCCCACTCCATGTCGTGGGATCGAAACTAATACGCACATGAGGCACTTGTAAGCGGTCCTCTTGCAAAGTTTTCTGTAAATTCCTTAAAAGTCATGTGCTTCCGGATGCCAGCCCCAGCCAATCCTGCCAACTCGACAGCCAATTCGACACCCTGAACACGCTAATTCGATACCCTGTCAGGCCAATTTGACACCCCGAACAGGTCAATTCGATACCCTGTCATGCTAATTCGACACCCTGTTAGGCCAATTCGGCACCCGGACAGGCCAATTCGACACCCGGACAGGCCAATTCAGGCCCAGCACAGCCCAATTCCGAGGCTCCACAGCGCAATTCGAATACCTCCGGCGAGTCCGCCAGAACGATTCCAGACCTCGGCAGACCAATTCTTTTGTCAGGAATAAAATCCAGGCTAATTCTGCGACAGAGCTCCTCCCTAATTCCAGCCCGGATCCTACCCTCCTCCCTATCAAAGGCCTTCTCAAAGTCAATCTGTACTATTATCAACGGCGGTTGTCCCGCGATCCGATGCCGCCTGACCAGGTGTTGCTTGACAAAGAGGTGGTGAGCAGTGCCAAAACCCCGCCTGAAACCCGCTTGGCATGGGTGCCGCAGGTCCAGTATTTCCCCAGCACGTACCAGGCGGTTAAGGATCACTGACGCATAGCATTTCGCAAGTGCTCCTCCAACTGCAATGCCCCGATAATTTCCTGCCACCAATGGGTCACCCTTCTTCAAAACTGGGGATACCACCGTTTTGGTAAACTGCTGTGGAAAGTCGCCAGTTGCCCTGATGTGCTACAACAAAACGTGCAGCACTGGGACGATACAGTTCACCTCCGTTCCCTGCCTGCCCTGCTCATCCACCCGTGGGAGGCGTGCATAACGGTAACATTCCGATGGTATGGCCTCAAGCCCGTGAGCCTTTCCGTTTGGTAACCTACCGACAGCACGTGCTACCTCCTCCAAGGTGAAAGGCTCGTCCAGGATGCTAGCTGCCCCTGCTCTCCTGTCCATGACAGTCCGACATGCTTGCCAAGCACCCTCTCCCAAAGGGGCCCCAAAAAAGGAGATATAATTAAGGAGTCGATGTGCACCTTCAACACCCGTCTCCCCAACTCCTGCATTTAACAAGGTGGCAAAATGATCCCGAAATACATGCAAGTCGTCAATCGCGCAACGCTCCTTGAGTTGCCCTCCCACATTATGTAGATGTCACTTTCAGGAACTTAGGAGCACGGCGTGAAATAAAGCTGTCCTGGCTTCCCACGGATTTTCTATATTTCCCCGTACCGCTCCCAGACCCTGACCGCCGTACTGAAAATAAGGATGCAGCCTAGCTAGCTACCTCTCTGGAGTGTCTGTGCCTTTCTACAGGTTTTTGATGCTCATCCTGAAGGTGATTAATGCGCCGTACATCTGCCATAATCTTTTTACAAAGGCATACATCCTGCATACCAGAATTCCGTTGCGCGGGAAAAACGCGGCTCAAGCCCCGTTCAAACGGGTCCACCTGGAAAGAGAGCGATATCATTTCCAACGTGACATACACAAAACTCCTTAACCCTAGCATTTGCAAAAGGGCACGACAACTTAAATGAGTTGCAATATATCCCCGCCATATCAACACTAGCAACGAAATCTCTACCAAGCAAGGCTCTTCGAAATCTCATACGCAAGGCTGCCATTCTGAAGTAGTCCTGCTTCACGTCACCTAGCCCGCGCTACAGGACCCCAGCAGCGCGAGTGCCCAACCCATAAATACAGATGTAATTACAAGACGCAAGGTCCGAGGAGACGAGAGACCTGGCCGATCAGCACACAAGCAACAAAGCACTTTCATTCATTCCTTTCATAAAGTCGTGTATGAAGTCAATAGCAACGGTGGATACTCAACATAGTAAGGCTGTTTTTCACGCGCCGACGTGAAAAGACAACCTTCCGCGACCCCTTGGAGATCGCTACTGAAAAATGATCGCAACATTCATTCAAACATTGAAATAAAAAGCTGTTGTCGACAATACTCACAGACTTCACACAGGCAATCAGCTATCAGCCTCCCCTTAGTCCATGGTGCCCCCAGTCGCACCATGGACCAAGACTCGAGGCAGGAAGAAAGCCTTCAGCGCAACACCAGGCGATCAATCATATGTGGGAGATCAAGAAGGATCAACAAGCCCAGCTATACGACAGCTATTGTCGTACAATCCCCAGATCCAGATCTTGATTGTAAATCAGTTTAAGTCCTAGGCAGGACAGCAACCTACGGCCAGGACAACTCATGGCACTGCCTTAGCCACTGAATATCCCCCGCTTCTTGCAGCCGCCGTGGAGCCGGGCAAGTGCAAACAAAGGATGCCGGTAAGCAACCGCTGAAGTTTGCAGTAAGCTTAGTTATTCAGATTTTAGCCCGCCTCGTGACTGGCAGTGAAACGATAAACACGGCGCCAGCCAGACAGCATAAGCTTATATGCTGTCGCAGTACATCTCGCTGTTCAAGCAGCGAGCCTCGGCTCCTGTTTAAACCCTTGCTAAAGTTTAACCCTAAGTCAAACCATAAAACCCTGGAGCTCACCGCTTCAAACCAGCCAACTACCATTGATCTACCTCCCGAATTAAAGCATGAACGGATCAATTTATTATTCCAATCCAAACATCCGATTACAATGCGTACTGGCTCTTGCTCATTGTATTATAACGCGCGATGCTACAACAGAGTCTTCCCTTTTTTTCCACCGCCGTAATTCTTCTCTTTTTACCATCGAACGCGTCTTGCGTGCAAACAGCCGCGCGACCTGCGGTCCTCGCCGCGAGGCGCTGAACTCAGATCACGATGTGATAACCGAGATGCCAACAAATATTTTTCAGAATCATCATTTATAAATACTTGCGCATAATAAATGCAAGTCGCCATCCAGATGATTGAACTCACATGCCTTCCTCCCCGTCAGATGTCTCGTTAATGTAGGTTTTGATGGAGGCAACAAGTCCCATGATACTGAGGATGATGCTCAGCGGGATGAGCACAATCAGCCACGTCCTCTCCAGCCCGCTCAGTTTGGCGCTTAGCAGCTTGATGGCAAACCAGGCCGGTAGCGTGTACGCGACCGTTAGATAAGTGACGCTCGTCACAAAGCCCACTGCGAGGGAGGCCGGCCAGCATGGGAGCAGATAGTTAAGACAGATTGGGTTGCCGTACGGTCGTTGGAAGCTGTAAAGACCTAAAAAGGATACAAGGGGCCAACTTTGCATGTGTATGTTTTTAGGGGGAGAGGGGGAGGGGGGCCCGATAACACAACATAAAAAATTTACACGAAGACATATTATGCCACACAGCCGTTATTTTTGGCCACGACACGTGCACACAGCTAACCTCACCTAAAGTACAGAAGAACGGAACCGCCACAGCGATAACGGCAGAGTACGACGCAACGAAGGCAGTCGCTGCCAGCCACTGAGGCCATGAGGTCATCCATGCCAATGCACGAAAGAGGGACAGGATGGGGGATGGTGGTGTCATGAAGAAGAACAGAATAAAAACAAGGGATAGCAAGGGGAAACGGCAGGACCTCAGGCGCACTAGGCTTTAATGGCGCATATCTAGATGGAAAATATGTCACATACAATCGCACACAGCCCCGCAAAGTCTTCGATACCCCCAGCCTGACTTTCCAACTCGCTGAAAAGCGGGACGGCGAAGTAGAAAGGACACTTACTAATTTCCGCACACACAAGTACACAACTTCCATGTCTCGCAGAATGTGTGTGTTTATCTGTGTGTGTGTGTCTGTGTGTGTGAATCTGTGTGTCTGTGTGTGTATGTATGTGTGTGTATGTCTGTGTGTCTGTGTGTTACACATCGGTTACCCAACCCAGAGAGGTGTAACGAGCCCATACAAGCCAGCAGAGGCCCAAGAGCCTCAGAGCCACAAGCCAGGTGAGCGACATCATCACACAATGCCCTCTGCCGCCCTCTCGGAGTGACAGCTGCCTCAAAACCGTAGGTACAAAACCGAATCAGATCTGAGAGATCTAGAGCACTTGTTGCCACTTACATGGCTGCTGGAATGGTCCCCTGTGCTCTTGACCGCTGTATCCTGTTTCCGAGCGGTTATCAGGGTCAGGTAAAATATAAATGTTTACATTGACAGTCAAACAGCCAAACATTCGGAAGCTTAGTAGGGCGCTGGTTAAGCTCAGCTGCAATACTACTTCTAGGTGTGGGCCATGGCCACCAGGGTTGGCCAACCCTCAGACACTATCCCCTCCTCCCCACTCCCGGCAAAACCGAAAAGACAAGACAGGCGAGGAGGAAAAAGGGGGACACTGTCCATGGAACTTCATTTCGGACTGAGGAAATACACACTGGGAAACGAAAGCGCAGAAAACACGGCACATACCTCCTGTAACAAACACACACACACACACACACATACCTCCATCCACAACTCGCCCTCGGAGTTATGGTTGATGCGTCGAGACAGCAGCACCAACAGGTTGTGCGTCCACACGTTAAGGTTTACCAGATATTGAGCCAGCGCCTGTTCAGGACACATCGCATGCGGCAACAGCAACATTAATAGCAAGAAACCGATTGGAGCCTGGTTAGGCAACAAGACATACAGGTCCATGGCAGTAAGAGCTATGATAAGAGGGTAGGTGAAGATTCCGGAGCCCTTTTTCAAGGAAACAGTGCCAGGCTCGGACAGTCTTGTCCGAGCCTGATTAGGCAACCTCAGGATTCTATCGCAGAGGGCCTCTTAGCTGCGGGCCGGCCTCTGCCCCGGCCCTGGATGCACAGGGAAGGCATCGAAGTCCAACACGCTAGCGGGTTAAGCGATCTTTGGTCATTTCATCTCTGAAAAGGTGTGTACGTGCTGCTATTTCGATAGGGGTTGCTGAGCCGATAGGAAGCGCTGCGGAGAGCCGGGCGGCGCCCATTTGACTGGCCTGTGTGGCACCCCATTGAGCAAGCAAAGCCCAGCTAAGTCCAATTGACGGCAGCAGCAGAAGCAGCAAAAACTCGTACCTGGAAAAAGATAAATCCTGCGGCGATTTGCGCAGCTGGCCCCGGGTTCATGTTGAAAATCACAATGCCATTCACACCGGAGCCCTTGGACCAATAGCCCACCGCGCCGAAACCGCTGTACAGCGCCGTCATTATTACCGTACATTGCATCACGGAGAGGGAGAAGCTGGTGGGCGTTCTCATGCTGGTGATGAGCTCCAGGAACGCAAACTGGCCGCCGTACGCTGCATCAGAATGCCGTACACACATCTTATCAAATTTGGGACGTCCGTCAGAGGACAGCGAACCCGTGAGGAAAACTCACACACAGATCAGTCTCATTTGTGACATACATATACACACACATACTCATGGGAGAGCGAGGGGAGATTCAGCTCATGCCGTGTGTAGGAGCAGATGCAGTGGGGGAAAGAGGACGGGTACTTCACGGTGGCGCCCGAGGATGCGGCAGTTTGGAAGTGACAGGATATACCGTTGATGTCTAACGCAACTCGCGGTGTAGGTGTATGAGATACAGACACACAAACACACAAACGCCCTAGTCGCCCATCCCGACACAGCCACGTCCCCAAGCCGCAACCCCTGCCCAACCAACCATCATCACACAACCGACCCAGCGAGTTAATCAACCAACCAACCAACCAATTTCCTACCCACCAAAAATCAAGTTGAGGACTCCCATTGCTGCGGGAACCCAGCGGCCGGAAAGCAGCTCATCCGCCACGAGGGGGCTGCGGGAGACGGGGGAGGAGGTAGCGGCGGCTAGGCCCTCATGGACGACGTCGCCCCCGTGGCTCCGCAGTCCCAGCGGGGATCCCTCACCCCCCGCAGGAACACCTGCGTGGATGGGGGCCGGGGTGGGCCCGAATGATGCGGTGGTGGAATGGGCAGCTAACTACGTGATGTACAGCTAGCTATGTAAGGCGCTAGCACGGGCGCTTCTTAGATTTCCAACATATCACTTTCAACTTTCAACATTGTGTATATCCTTCGCATGTATGTAGTATATCCCATGGTCCGGCTTAAGTGCAAGAGGATTCGCTCAACTTGGGAGGTGAAGCCGTTACATGCTATTTCCAAAAAGCCGTACAGGTGAAGCCGTTACATGCTATTTCCAAAAAATCAGGTAAGTATTGCGTGAGGTCGCCCCATCGAGTCCTACCGGCGGTAACTACGAGATCGGAAACGACGATGGCGAGTGCTACCAATTGCGCCACAGTGCCCGCCATGAAGAAGGAACTTAGTTGTGTCAAATACCTGTGTATCGAAGAAGGCGGAGGAGGAGAATTGGAAAAAAGCGACTTGGGCTTCCCTCATACTCTCAGGGGAAGCACAGTTAGTGCGCTGTTAGGATCCCCCAAGCCACGTGAAACTTGACCCCAAACACACACTGCCAAAACACACACTACCCTCGCACGACGAACCAACTTCATGTGCCCCTCCGGCGCACGCACGGTGGGGGGTTAGTAGCGAGGCGACAAGAGGTCAGCTGGGCACAAGAAAACGGTACAAAGCAGCGGTGAGGTGGGACCTGTTCGTGCAATGACGACACCGCACGAATGCGATAACGCACAGCTGTCCAAAAGGGAGGATCAGGGGGGAATGAGCCCACAGCGGTGTGCGCAAGGTCAGCAGAGGGTTCCTGCCATAGGGGCGCGGCGAAAGGCATGAAGACCCGCATGGAAAGGAGATTTGTTCCCGGTTCCGGCAACGGCATCACACAGGGGAGGGGAGCATCCAACAGGAGTATTCCCACATACCAGACCGCTCAGGTTCTTATGGGGCATGGAGAGCTTTTGGAGTCCTGAATTACCTCAGACGTACCGCACCTGATCTGGCCAAGCATAAATACGACGACACCGACGATTATGGAGAATTGCCACAATGGTAGGTCCTCGCCTAGAATCGGTGAAATTGCGTGCTTAAGGCTTTGTGTGGCTGCCAGGTGCAGGATGATCGACCTGGTGGCGCCGAGCGAGTAGTTGGCGATGTAAACCAGCATCCGTCCTTTCCGACCAGCTGCAGCAGCGCCGATGTCGCCAAAAAGCACTGCGGGATGGCAAGGCAGGAAAAAAACGGAGGTAGACTAAAGCCACATATAAACGTTTGCAACGCTATACGGATATAGCAACGTCGACCGATACGGGTACCAGCCCCAACGCCATCCAAGCAATGGAAAGCCATGTCGATGAGGAATAAGGCGTTCGCATACCTGCATTTGGGACGACTGAATAAAGTCGCGTGAATAAGGTACCGGAGTAAATCGTTGCGCTCGCCAGTAAGGCGAGGGTCACTGCGTGAACAGGCATGCGCGCACGTGATGTCGGAGCAGCAAGCTTGTAGGACTTCGACGCAATAAGGATGGCCAAGCTTACCAAATCCGGGAATCCAGCCCAAACGGGCAAAATCACATGGCAACAGCCATAGACCCCATCCTAGCTGCAGCGTTACCAATGCTGCGGTGGTTTGCAAGGTAGTACATTGGCGACCGGCGGCTGCCTTGCAAGTATTGCTAGCATGACCATTTCTCGAATCAAGCGCATGACCAAGCTCTGCCTCTTCAATCGTGGCATCTCCATTGACAGGTGTCTCCTCCGTGAGGAGGGGCTTCGCAAGACTATCATCCTCATGAGCCGCATAATAGCTTTCTAGGTTTGCAGGGGTCTCCGCCGCCATGGTTAACAATCCAGTTTCAATGCTATTTCCTGGGCTAGTCAGGAGCGTGGAAGCTCCGAATGAGCCAGCGATCCACGCCAGTCTGCTCGGTCTTGAAGTACAGAAGGCAGCGTGCGAAGATCTCGCGCACTTTGTCGTGGACAAACTCGAGGACAGCGATAAGGATGCATAATTAAACTTCAAATTGTCACAATTTAATTGGCGCAGCCATTGCATGTGTCGGCCAGGCCATCAGGCCTAACGGCTATTAACTCCCGCTGCAACATCTTCCTCGGAATTTGAGACGATGAGAGCCGATAAAGCCTGTGTCAACCTCGTGCCCAACCCTAGTTTTTTGGATGGTTCAGATACATAATTTTAAAGTGGACGGAAAGGCTGCACACTTAAAAACATGAGAAACGTCGTCCTGCTTAGCTAATCTTACACAACATTTCCTTTGCAAGGCCAGATTATCATTCCGACCCATTGCACAGCATACATAGGTTTTCCTGTGTCCGCTTAACTTGATGCTTAGTTTGCAGATGGCTCTGCTAATTCATACAGTTAGCGAGACCCTCGCGGTGACCTGATATGATGTCGAGGGTTAGAATGTAAACTCTTTCGCAGTCGATTTACTCTGGAAATGAGCAAAACGACATTAGTTACTGCAAGTTCGCGACCTCCGTAATGACCGTTGACATTTGGTTGCGAACAACCCTGAAGAGCTTCGAAAATTGCTTCGAGGCATTGGTGTCATGATACACGCAATCACTTAAATTATTCCTATAAATTTGCAGATCACGATACAAAAAAATAACATTTTAGGTTAGCTCCAACTCCGTAAACTGCCAATAAGTGGCCTGGCTCATGCTCTGCTGGTCGAGGGTAGTGTCCCATTATGGCGGGAAGGCTACTCTTAGGTCTACGATACGGCTGTTATGCTGCTACCTTACCAGGCTGCACCAATGGTAATTCCAAGTCACGCGCGCTGTTTTCCTTAACTAACTACCCAGTTTCCCGCCTGGCATGAGGGTGGGATCGGGGATTCGCGTTAGCCGGCACACAGTCTGTAAACTCCCTCGCTTCCCTTGTGTCTTTCCGGCTAGTAAGTTACGGGTGTCATCTCGACACTGCGGAGTGTCGTATTGGTAAACATAAGAAAAGGAAAATTCACTGTGACCTGCCGGTTTGAACGAGCAACGGAGTCCAAGACCGTCTCTTTATACAATCATGATGTTTTTCCATCGAGGGATGGCAACAGAATAATGTGCATATTTGTATATGTGTCGAGTTGCAGTGGCCAAGTTGAGCGAATTGGACCGCCGTGTTCACGACGTGCCTCGACGTTTCTGTTGCCATTTAAACTGCTCTGCATCACATTTCCGCAGCATAAGCGCTGACCTAAGATCTGACAACTTATCGTAACGCCGGTGCTCAACCTGACGTTCATACTGGACGCCGCAGTCTATCTAGGGTGCATCCACGCTCGTGCGAGGCATTTGGTTCACTCGCGACAATGCTATAACGAGAACGCTTCTATACCGTAGCAGTGTTTTCATCGGGTGAGATGCAAAATTTGCAATCATATGTAGTCTCATGCAAGGCATGTTTTGCCAGAGAGTAATGAGATATCCAGGGATTGTTCCATAGGGCCGAAGTAAAGCTCTGCATGCGTAAAAGAATGATTTCCTCGTGCCAAGGTACGGTTCCACAAGATATCATGAATCTTGCTTTCCTCGAGTGCGCGCACACCTATCATACGTGGTACAGCTTCCCTTATAAACTGCTTTCTAAGCACTCCCCCAGCTCCTCATGGGATGGATGGAAGGGCCTTGGCATTCGAGCTCCGCTCTGTCACTCTGCCGGCATCAGATTATCTGCCCTGTCCTAGTCGTCCCTACCCTGTCCTCTGGGGCAAGGACAATCACTGTGCGTCATTCGCCCCAGCTCCTTCTGTGTACAGGATCTTCCATTTGCATCATCATCATCATGCTTACCTCCCCCCTAAGTGGGGGTGCTTACCTCCCCCAAAGTGGGGTTGCTTACTTCCCCCCTAAGTTCATACCCACCCCCTATGGAAACTTACCCCAAATGGTATATTTGAACTAAATTTTTCATACTCCCCCCTTAGGGGGTATGAAGTGAATGTGAAGTGAAGATGAATAATGATGATGATGATGAATGATGAAGGGTGAAGGGAGAGCAAGTGATAATAACGCGAAAGAACCCTGGCTTGAACTGGGCGAGTGCATGTGCATGAACGTGCACCCCGTGCTCCTGAGAAGCCGCTCTGATCGCAAGTGGTGACGTGAGCACTGAGAAGCAGCATGCGCGTCGCACCACATCTGAACACATGCTGAAACGCGTGCATGCAGAGAGGCCTATGGCGTTTTGTGGTATCTGTACGGCACTCGTGGCCTGGGACTGCGGGTTGGTGTATGGGAGAAGTTGAGCTGAGGGGATATAGCGACTCGGACTGAGCTGGAGACCCAGTCACGTGTCGGTCCGCTTCAGGGGAGGTATTTTTGTTGAATGGGGCTGCCATCAGCCGGAGCAGCCAGTTGCAGCGGCTTCATCAGTTGAAGCACAGTACCAAGCTTTGTCAGCTGCTGTGCATGAGGCCCTTTGGTCGCGCAAATTGGCGGATGGTCTTGGTTTCACATCCGGTTCTGTGTGCATAGATGTAGACTCTCAGCGGGTGTTAAGTATCGGAGATAACCTGATTACCTCAACACGGTCGAAACATGACGACTTCCTGCAACATTTGGTGTGGGAGCGGGCTATGTGTGATGAAGTGAAGCTGGAATGCTGTACCACAAAAAGCATGGTGGCGGACATATTCACGACTGTAACGACGCAAATGCCAATCTGAGCATCCCGGGTTACGCCTTTGCTGTGTTACAATGGTATCGAGACGGGACCGCACGAATTCCGAAAAAAACTTCGGGTCGGCGGTTCGATTCTGGCAACCAGCAAGTCGCAAATTGGCGATTTCATGGTGTAATGGATAAACCAGCGCACTGGCGCGAGGTGGGATGGCTCCTGTGCTCGAAATAATGGCCGAGGACGTCCATTGCTAAGTGGGGGGCAATGTAACGACGCAAATGCCAATCTGAGCATCCCGGGTTACGCCTTTGCTGTGTTACAACGACACCTTTGGGAAAGGCTAAGTCTACATGAGCCGAGAGTCTTTAGGCGTCTGTTGAGTTTAATGCTGATGAATGATGAACTTTGCCTGAATTTGCAAGATATGTCCCGCAGGGGTGTGTTGGAGTGATACGAGTCCAACGACACAACCTTGGATTCGGACACCACCATTGAATGGATCACGTGGTGCCTTGAGAGAGCCTAGCCTAGATAATGCGTGGCCTTTATGATCAGTACAGTTCACTCATGGTAAAGATTGCATATACCAGTGTTTCTAAAAGTGACCTTTGTTAAGGTGGTTACCAAGGAAACCCCCCACAGTAACCACTTGGTCACTAACAAATTACCACGGTGAGAAGTTTTACAAACTCTGGCATATACAATGTAATTGGCAGTTGCCCCTGTTACCCCGTCACTGAAACACGTTTTGCTTTATCCATTGCCTACCGGATCCAGTTTCCGATGAGCAGCAGTGGGCAAGTGATCCTGGGAGGAGGTGGTGAGAGAGCCGCATCATGTCCTGGATGCAGCTGCAACTTTCGTGGAAGTCCTCCTTACAAGAAATGGGAGGGCATGGTGACAAAATGGAGCTGTAACTCAGGTACAGATAGCAGGCGACGCCTCAGGAAAGGTGTATGGGCTCTCCTACCCAACCGGGAGCTTGGAGATGTGGTCATGCGGGTCCCGTCCTCAAAGGAGGAAATGCAGGAATTGGCAGAAGGCTGGCTCAGCAGCACAGTGCGGGAACTGTGAGCAGACGTGTTAGCATCGGAGTGGCTTCAGGAGCAAGCACTGGAATTAGTCTGTGGATGGCGGATCCAGTACCAGACAGGCAGTCAATCTGCCCACTTATGCATCCTGGGGCAGAAGGGTGCAGGCCAATCCCTGGAGGAGGTAGCATGACTGTACCAAACCAGTGCTCGTTTGGACACGGAGTTTGAGACAGTGTGGTAACCCTGAACGGCGGCAGCATAGCAGGAGGCGGATCGGAGCAGCAAAGAGGAGAATGTGACTAAGTGGAGCCTGCATCTGGAAGTTTACAGCCAGCTCTTACACCACCCATTATTGCAAGGCCACCGTCCGGACATAGACTGCTTTATGGATGCTACCAACACCAAGATACCTGGCCATTTCTTTGCAGCATGATAGAATCCCGGATGTCTTGGTGTTGATGCATTTGCACAATCTTGGGCATTTGCA